AACCATCATCCAGAATGCTCTCGAAAAATTTCGCCGAACAAAAGTTAGCGCTATATTAAATGCTGTACAACAAACTGGTTGTTTTTGTTTGAAGTTGTCTGCGATAAGAATTTGCCAGTTTAAGTGACGGTCATCCACAAACATCACAATGAACGATACAGCAGATTGTTACATTCCCAGCAACCGGACCACCAACGAATCACTGGCGAATAACTGCACTAGCAACATGACCTTGGATTACGAATTTTACAGTTTTAATTCTACGAGTTTTACTTACACAAGGAATACGGTTGATTGGTATCGCATTGTTATGTTGATAGCGTATCCATTCCTTCTGGCTTGTGCTACCGTCGGCAATGCGATCAACATTGCCGTGCTGATGTCAGCCAAAAAGCGTACCAGCACCAATGTGTTCATGACTACAATCAGTGTCGCCAACTTGATAGCGCTGTAAGATCAATGTCGTGTTATTAGCCACGTACAGAATGGGCACTCTAATCATTTTGTACTTTCTCAGGTGGACTAACTTCCCAACATATATTTGGGAAGCGCCTGTCTCTCAGGCGTTCTGGTTGGAAGCCCATCATGACGTGGGATTTTGGGTGACAACTGTGATAGCTAATTACCTGCGCGTCGTATGCATGGAAATATGCGATTGGTAGGTCATAACTACTCGCGTCCTGCAGAAATCCACCCGTAATGCAGAACCTGGCGTGCTTTACTATGTTGTAAAGAAAAAGCTGACTAGCCCACATTTTTTCAATGCGTTGGATAAGTCATTACGATATTTTCAGGACTTTAATTGCATTCGCGGGTGGACGACTGTTAGCTTATGTCAATCCGTTTGGATTGATCCTGACGCACCCCACGCTGCCAGCCCGACTTACCGTGTGCGGTATCATACTTACTGTTGGCATGGTGACGTCGTATGAGCTGGTTAACATTTACTGGAAACTTTCCACTTTAAGTTTAACCCCGTCGAGCACTGGCCTTTTGGCACAAATCCAAAACTTTCTCTTTACATACAGAATCGAAGACATGCCGCAATGGTTGTTGCGGTGGGCAACAGTCAAAGGCACTTTCAAGGTCAGACTCAGTAGTTTAGTGCGGATCACACAGATAACATTAGTAGCTTCAGATTTCATGTTTACCATACTTTACATTAAAAAAATGCAATGGTTTTCGTATGTAAAGTGAGTGCACGCGTAAACAAATGACATACTTTTTGCACTTACATGCCTATCAACTCAACTATATATATGGCTTAAACTACAGAGCAGATTTTTGTGGCCTTGGCAGGTTTATAAAACCTTTTCTAAGCTAAATAATTTTAAACGTTACTGGAATTTCTTGACAATATTACGAACCTGCACGCTACGTGCAGCCATCTCGAACGCCCCTGCTGATGTTAATGAAGTAGTATTTTCAGGCATTTCTCGTTTTTGGGAAATCTATGCTCTTGCTACTGTTCAGCAGTGTCCTTATTTGCGCCATTCGCCGAGAAAACCGCTCCGCACAAGCTCTTCTGCATTCTGATCACACCCGAGACTCTCGCAGCAAGCACACCATCTCACACCATGTTCTGCTGTGGAGCACCATCACCCTCTACGTTGTCACAAATGCTCCCAATCTGCTAGCCAGTGGTTTCGCGCTGGCCAAGGTGTTTAATTTGCCTTTCACGACAACGGATACCAATTTTAATATTTTACAGCTCATTTGTGATGTCTCATTGATGGCAAATTATTCGGTGAACTTCTTCGTATATCTGGCTGTCAGCAAGGAGTACCGACAACAAGTGCGCCGGCTGCTGTCAACATGTATGAGATGTGGGAAGGTTGTATCTCAGTCCACCAAAAGATTAGCCAACCCCATTATATTGTACTCCACGGCGACAACGGTAACGGTCGGCGGCCTGCGCTCTGCCCATGCCCAACCAGGAACAATCGGCATGCATCCGTAAAGGTAATATTTTAAAACCATTTCGTTATTTTATTAGCCTTAAAATGTCAGTGTACCACTGTGCCACCTCACGGTGGCTCAGTGGTCAGCCATACGGATAGCAAGCGAGAGGTACGGAGTTCAATCCCAACTCTGGTCGAATATTTTGCGAAAAGGGAGTCGCTGGCTGACCATCTAGAGGGGATATTCAGCATCAGCGCTGACCGTACTCAGTGGCTTGTACGCTTCTTCGACGCCTGGGCTAAACGAAGCCTCCGAGCACCCTGACTTAGTTCACTCCCTGGGCTTTCTGGGCACGGTGAAACTTTCGGATATATATTTATATTGTCTCCTAACATCTTTGAAACCTCTTTGAAAAATAAACCGTAAATAAAATCAACAACGATTATAGAGAAGTCATCCACCATATCGGTTAAAAAGCATAGTGTGGGACAAGTTAACTTAACCGCAATCCGTGGATATTATGCCTAACCAGCAAGCGTAAACGCCAGCCGTCCGGCAATAACTGCGGTAAATGACAAAATCTGCTGTACTACCCTTTTCACACCATGTTAATACCATTTCTGCGCGTTTAACTTTAATAAGTATCATAATTCCTTAAGTCGCGTACAACATAAGCACCAAGACAAAAACAGCATTTATAACAGAAACACTTCCTCTATGCCCATTACACAAATCGCGTTTCCCTGTTGTATTTGGTTAAATACTCGCTGCTTAAGAAAACTGTTTCGCCCGTTTCTTGGCCAGTGGAAGTCGCTATACCGTTTCCAGCGTTCTCCACTAGCTTCTTCGTTCCGCCTCCCCAAGGACCTTAAATTTCAAAGGCTGCAGCAACGAAGTCGTATCTTGGGTGCAGCCAGGCGTGCTCCGCTAGTTTCGCCCTTTCCGCGAGTTCGGCTGCTGAGCCGACATTCACGGAGGTGCGGTAGATATACGAAGCAGCTAGCGTGTCCACCCAGGCAACATCCACGGCCAACGGCTTTCCGCGCGCCCACGGTACAAGCGTGATCACATCCAGCCTTTTATCTTTCGCGGAAAGACCTTTTGGCTCCCTTCTTGCAGGAAACCGAACTTTTCTGTCCACGAGTAATCGCGAAGAATGCTGCCCTAAATTGTTCTTACATTGCATAAACAACGTTAATTGCATGAAAAAAAAGTCTCTCAGATTAGCAGGCAAAGCGACTAATTTCTGAAGAAGTCATTCTAATAAAAGCTGCTTCAACGTGGAAATGAGAGACGAATAGAAAATCGCAAACCAGACTTACCGGTTTTTCGCTGGATCCTTGTCGGTGGCATTTCCAGATAAGATTGTAAATGGCACATTCAAATATCACCGCAACATTTCGAATCTTGATTGTGCCGTGCCCACATTCGTCGGTGAGGGCTGTGCAAACCAGACTGAGCTGCGCTGTAACGGAGTAGCAGCGTGACGGCGGCCAACAACGTGCTGATATCACTCAGAGCAGCGGTTGATGTCACCAAAAACAGATGAGTTCGGCGAAGATAAGGAAGAGTTGTCAACAGGCTGCACTGCCACATAAATGCGATATCAGTTAACAACACCCACATTCTGCTTCTCTTTATATACGCGCTTGTCACGTTAATTTTGCAGAGGAATGCAACATCTAGTGCTACTGCCAATCAGCCGGTCAGTGTCACCAATTAGTATTTAATAAACATGCGCCTGACACCACCAGGCACCGCGCTTATAATGCTTGTCCGCAGTTTAGATTATACGATTGCCAAGTTGTCCGTTTATTGGAAAAATTAATACAAGCAAAACATGAGTGCCCCAAGGAAAAGCAACGTCTGCATGAAGAAATGAATCAGGAATGCACGCTAATTAAGCAAACGTTGCCACATAAATAAACACCATACACCGATGAACCTGAAAACAGAACGTGACTGCCGTGACATTGTGTACAGTGTGATTACCGGTTTGGTGCGCGTACCAAGAACGTTACGTATCCATTTCACGAACAGATCCATTGCGGATGTAGTAATAAGTAATTATGCTTTTTATCAATAAATATAGATGTTTAATGTTCAAAATCATGTTTCTTGACACCAATATTAAATTATTCATGCCACTGGCATTGCTTGTTAGAAGATTTTTTCCCTGACGTTGTACAAGCCGCAGGGTTCTGCCGATTTCACTAAGCTGCCTAATTCAGGAGATATTGATATTTCATTTACTGTACTTACTTATGTACGTAGTGTGCGCTAAATACATATTTGTGTACTGATACGAGCCCGTTTCAGAAACTGGTTCTCTTAAACAAAAAAATGCCAGTTCACGGCACTCGCTCCCAGTGAGATGTCCCAGTTACAAGTGTGCGTACTGGCGCTTATCGTCGCGTTGTCCCGCGCAAACTTGCGTTGGGTAGTGCAAGAAAAAAGCCTAGCGTATATTACAAGTATTAACGGGTGTGCGGGACTTTACCAAGTCAACGGCCGATAAATAATTTTACAGACACTTTAGAAACACAACAATAGGCCGAACCCATTTTGTCTTCCGGGTTCAATTAGCTAGTCAGTGTCACACTATCAATAGTAAACAGGACACATTGCTTATTATATCGCGCATTGCATGTATTTGGGAATCGGATACAAAACACTGTAATTATGCGCAGCACACCGTCAATCACACAATATTAATTGCACACTGAGCTGTCACCGGATATATGGTTGTCTTGCATTAACTTAGTGGCAACGTCTGCTTAATTCCCGACACTTTTCACTTAATTCATGGAGCAGACGTTGTTTTTCCTTGGGGCACTCGTGCTTTGCTTGTATCAATGTTTTCGATACGCGAAAAATTTGTTAATCGAACAAATTATATGCATGGGCTAGCATTATAAGCGTGGTGCCTGGTGGCGTCTGGTGTCTGCCTTATTAAATGTTAATTGGTGAGACTGACCGACTGATTGGCAGCAGCACAGAAGTTTCATTCATCGGCAAAGTTAAGGCGACAAACAGAGCCATTATATAAGGAAATGCAAAGTTACCAGCGCTGTTAACTGATACAACATCTACCTGGCGCTGCATTCTGCTGTCCACACTTTTCCTATCGTCTCAGAGTTCTCTTGTGTATTATGGATTCGACCGCTGCTATCATAACGCTGCTGGCCGCAGTCTCGCTGTTAGTCCATTACAGCACAGCGGAGTTTGGTGACCACGCCGTTGCATCTGGACGCAAAACATTCAACGCTGAACTTGGGAATATGAAGTCCGGGGTTGCCTCCGACAAGAACCCAAGGGAAAACCGGTAAGGCCAATTTAGAATTCTAGCTACTTACGTTTCGCCGGTAAAGGAAATTCTAGTGGAATGACCTCCACAGAACCTAGTCAGTTAGGGTGCGAATCTGAGACACCTCGCTTCACACAGTTAGCATCGTTTATGTCGTGTTAGGACAATTTAATTTAGTCTACTAAAATTACCTTATTGTTGGAAAATAATAAACAAGTTATCATGTCATATGTCAACTGTATCAATACTGTATCATATACTGTATCATTATAGCGCCATCACTCAGAATGTTAAAAATTGTGATAATCAGATGTTGAATACGGCCTGCTATTTGTATCGATGCCACTGCCAGGTTTATTTTGATTTTGCATGTGATTCCAAAAGTTGTTAGTTTGATTACGACTTATGATTGTTCATTGTATAGCACTCTTAAAAATGAAAAGTGTAGAATTTCATCTGCTGACGAACATTTATGAGGTGTAATGGCGAAGCCGTAAACTTTCAATGCAGTCCTTTTATTGTAATCTGGATGATGATCAAAAGTTTTAACATGTTAAGTGGTGGCGCTTGCGACCGCCTGCAGTCGGTGGCTGCCCGTGCTGCACGAGCCGGGAACGGTGATCTCGAATTTTCGCTACTTTGTTGAGTGATCACTAATACAAAGCCTTTCCATGTATACGCGGAAGTTAGAGGCTTAGAGCGGCAAACAATGTGACCAGGAAAAGGTGCAGCGGATGCCGGGTCCATTAAGACGAAGACGGCAAATGATTTCAAAACGGCTAGAAAGCTGTATACAGCAGGGTCACAGACAAACATATGCTGAACTGCTTGACTACGAGAGTTTGAGATAACGCGCAGCTATCGCCAGAACACTGAGCTTAATCCCAACTGCACTAGCGGTTGACTTAACCGTCAACCGTGGATGGTAGCTCTAACCACCATTCGTAAACGTCAATCGTGGACGATTGAAGCGTGGCAGTATTTGATTGTTGCACACTGCAGCCATCCACGTTTGACGGTTACGCATATTGGTTAGGACTACGATTTATGGTTTGCATTTTTTGCAGTTCCTCTGAAACCGACCTCCTACAGACATTGTGGTGTGACGACCCATTAATGACTATTGGCTGTCGCGAGTGTGAGAAATCATGCGTCAACCCCAACCCGCCGGCGTTATGCGCGTATAATTGCCACTCCACCTGCATCTGCAAAACGGGTCTGTATCGTACTTTCCTTCCCTCGCCAACATGCGCGCCGCCAAATGGACCCCTACTCAACAACTGTAAAGTAGCGTCAAGAAAAGTTAAAGGTTAAACACCAGATGGCCACGGCTACGATACGTGTTGGGATTAAGTGAAGTACGCTGACGATTGTTTAATTTTCCTGATGGTGTTTAATGCTGGCACGGATTATGTCTGATTGCTTTGACTGCCTTTGAACAGAAATGGAAATTCAGTTTCCATTTCTGTTCAAAGGCAATCAAAGACATCAGATGACATACTGATGACATCAGATGCTCACGTGTATCTGTACATGCTGAGTGGTAATCTTGCAGCGCTGTGAACCGCTCCGACAGACGGTCATAATTAAAACTACTTACAGATACATAGCGGGTCATTAATGCAATACTCCGCTTGAGAAAAATTGAAATTAATGTCTGTAGCATTGGAGAATTCGGCAAGACAGTCAACTGGATAGAATAATATCTGGTTTTTTTTCGTTCGAGCATTTCCGGAGACGCCAACAAATAAAAGTCAGTTCGCCTTTCTGTAACTCCATTCGCAACGCCATGTTGATTTTTCTCCACATTCGAAAGTCAGCGAAGTCACAAGTGCAATGCTGCCTATTTATGTAGATGGTCTACCAAGTGAGACCAACTGACATTGAACGATCAACCGACTGGATTAAAGAGATTTGACTCATTGGTTAGCACTTTCAGATCTTGCTAAGAACTAAACTTTCCGTTTTCCAAATTGAGTATGGTGGTAGTACCGAAAACTAGAATTTGCAGCCTGGGAAACCCGTTAAAATCCCTTTTTCTAAGTATCAGTCCAAAACACGATTGCAAATTTAATGTGGCTAAATTACTGAAACCGAACGCTGTTAGCACGGACGTAAAACGGCAGTCCTGGCACAGATAAAATGACGCGAAAATGACTTGTCTTCGGATCGGTCGAAAGGTGTCGGGCGCTTTTGCCTTGACCACTGTTCCTATTCATTTGGAAGGAAAAGCTAAGATGAGATGGGGGAATTATTACTACGAGGCTGCCCTGATCTCTTCCACGCTCGGATCGTCCGTGACAACCGCGATAATCTCCTTCGAACTGGGAAAGTATCGTTTTTACCCAGTTTGAATGAAATGTGTATACGGATGCATTCGAAGTTATAAATTTAACCAATTTTCACTATGAATGTCATTGTCTTATAACGGACTAACACCAGACAGATATTTATTACGCAAGAGTTGTTTTTTTGGTAATTCGACGCTGGATTACCCGTTTGCTCGGCGAAAGTTTTCAAGATATTGCTGACTTTAGCTACTTTATCGGCAGCTGGAACTAACAGCAAAGTTTTGAATCAATAAATCACTAAAATGATGCTGTTATTGGAGTTTTTTTGTTGCAAAATTTGTAGAGATTGCTTTTCTCTGTAGAGACGCAAGTTGTGCTCTGGAAAAGTATGTAAACGCTAGTAATGATGAATTTGGAGGCACTTCATACTTACCATCGGCCTACCGAGCATAAATCGGCTTAGCTTAGAATTTTAGAAATACGAAGGCTTTATCAGATACCTAGCCTGCATTCTTAAACCAATTGCACAGTATACACTTTAGCGCGGTGATTCCATGCAATACAATGCAAGAAATATCCCCTGAATACCTACTACCGCAATCATGCTCCCGTGACAAGGGCAAGCCGTTAACTGCTAATATCGATAGTCATTTTCTAACAAAATTAATATCGTCCACAAATGCATTTCCCAATGCAGTCATTCTGGCTGCTGGAGGTTGGGTCGTGATGTGTTGCTACGTGATCCAGTGAAAGAAGCAGGCTGCGTTGTAAGTCCTCAGCTGTCGGTCTCTTACTGTTGTCCACATTCAAACATGGGCGGATGATACCAGCTAATGCCGGTGGGAGCTCTTCACTAACGAACGGAACGTAACCAGCCATGATTCGCACGGCAAATTGCTGTTGAGTGGTTTTTGCATCCATCGTAAACGTACCGCTTTCTCCCAGGAGAGGGTCGGATTTTTTATACTTGCGTATATGAATTCCACAAGAACGATCAAATAAATCATGCATAATACAACCGACACTCCAGATATCTGCTTTCCGGCTCGGAGCCGGTGGCTGTTCCTGACTTCCCATGTGCATAATCTCGGGTGCCATGTATTTGAGCGTTCCACCAACGTTCATGTCGGCGTGCGTCTCACTAGCGGTGTTGTTCACCATTACCTCTAGACCGTCCAGGTCGCCGATTACCATCACAGCATGCCGGTCAGCATGATGTTTCAGGAAGATGTTGCCGGGTTTCAAGTCACCGTGCCTGAGGTGTCGCGCGTGTAAGAATTCCACACCAGTCACGATTTGCAGTGCATAACATAATGCGCTCCCTTGATCTAGAAGCGCATGATCGGCCTTTACTCCGAACAACAGCCTCTCCAAGTCGCCGCCTAGTGCGAAGACGTCAAATTTGTCAAATTTGCTTCAACAAGGCATAATGTTCATACCTTCGCAAAGATCCATAAGGATTTCCACAGAAAAGCCAGTATTAGTTGAGAAAAAACTGACTCTGTGAAACGCTACCAGATGTGGACATTGTAGGCTAAGCAGTGTCACCCATCTGTCCCTGGACCGTTCGCTGTTGACTTTCAAATTTTTCACTTTTGTTTCGTCAATGACTTTGACTGCCGCTTCCTCTTCACCGGTATAATTCCCGCGATGTACGATTCTGGCTCTGTAGACGTGTCCGTATGATCCTTGACCAAGACTGTTGCGATGCGAATACACATACAGGCAGTCGCTTCCCATGTTGTCCAGAATCTTCCCCTAAAGGAAATTGTATTATTTATCCGTCAAACATCCGATAAGCTCCCGATTTAATCAGTTCTGTAATAATTTCTAGCCAGTGTTCACGGTTAAAAATACAGTCTACGATATTGGTGTCGTCGGACGGTCAGATTCGTAATACTAATTGTTATGTAAGTATGCGTGCACATAGCAGCACATGCATCCGCAGCCCGCATGTGTGTGCAAGCCGATAAAGAAAATAAAAATTCATGGGTTTCGCCAAACTGCATACTACGGGGCGCTACGCCACACTGCATTGGGCATCAGCTGTTCCAAGCCAAATGGCGAAATGGAATATCAGTGTAAACATATTGTCGCATTCATAAAGAATTTTATCTATGCCGGTTCTTAATAAGTTTTTCAAACATTATTATAATTTGAGGCAATTGTTGTGACAACGATGATAGTGTATTGGCCGTCCCTAAGCGCAGACCCTGCGCTAATTACGCACTTGCTACATCCTTTCCGTGTTAAACTTCCGCATCGGCCTGTATGGCAGGTAAAATCTAGCTCATTGTGCGCCACCTGTAGCCGGCAGAAAGGTGGACGGGTGGATGGTGGATGTTCAATGAAATCGCATCCACCAATCTGCCGACCTTCGGCAGATTGGTGGATGAGCCATCCACCTTTCTGCCGGCTACATGCGCCAATCATTATTTACTTACATGTTAACAATCGATCAGAAATTTACTAAGAGGGGACGTATTAAAATCGATTCCCCATCAATGCGTACTTGCGGATATAGACCTCCTTGTATAGCTGACTGATAGTCCGTAGCAGACCTGTGCAGTTATTTTTAACTATTTAACGTAACGCGAGTTATTTTTGAGTTATCGAGTTGTAACGTAACTCTGAAGCGTAACTCGTCTCCCCGAAAACTTAACTCTAGCGTAACTTGCTCAAAAATTGTGTGTATTGTCTATGGTAGCGTAACTCGCTGAATAACTCGAAACTCGGTTTACTTACATTAATAGCGTAACTCGTAGCGAACTCGCACGCTCCCTGTAACTCCTAACTCTAACTCTGGGTCAGTTTTCCATAACTGCACAGGTCTGGTCCGTAGCACGCCGCTCCTCCTTTAACAGTCGCTCCTGCAAAACGAAAATTGCGCATTTCTGTACATAACATATTGAGACAGAGAACAGGTGTGTACACTGAATTGCTATCGATCTTTATTACAGGGCACTATTCAAACGGCTGGACCAACGACGCTGATTGGCAGGGTTACCCAGTTTCTGCATTGGCGGGCGTGTTCATTATGGTGTTTAACATAATCTTCCCGTTAGCAAGTGTATACCACGTACTACCACTATATCACTTTGAAATGAAAAGTGTACAGTACCCTTTTCATTTCAAAGCGATGACTTTTCTCAACAACTGATCAAGTTGGCTGTACATTGTGAATAACGAATCACCGCACCCGCCACATGTGGCGAGTTACATGATGAATCATGCTGAGCGCCTCATAGATTAGTAAGGTGAGGTAAGTTCCATTTTGTTCTTCCCTGTCTTTTGAAGTATCGCTGCGATGATTCTTTTTAGAAACGGATGAAATGCAAGCGTACATGCAATTGCAAGCAAAATTCGATAAGATCGGTTCATAATAAAACTTTTGGGTGCACCTGAATGCATTTAAACTTGCTGAATTTCTTTGCTCTCACATCTCGGCAACCCGATGCTACCCCAGAAAAAGGATTTTATGCCTATGCAGTGCAGACAAATCATTTGGTTACCCAGTGCCGAAAACCAAATCCCCAACACTGCTCGAAAGTTCCCATCAATGCACACGTATTTCCTGTGTATGTACGATGGACCGGGTCACTTATCTTAAGAATATCCGTAATGAGTAAAGCCTGATAATCAGAGGAACTGCTAGCCGCTAAACGCTCATAACGCGTCCCAAGGGGAACCGCTAATGCTAATAACGCGCTGCCAGTCGCGTGTGGATGCGTGGATGCGCATGACCGGCGCGTGCACCTGTTGTTCATGCTATTGCATAACTAACTTTCATTCTTCATGGGAAGTGTATCGATAGTCTTGGGTGGTATGTTGGAAAGTGTGATAACTTAGAGGAATGTCCTTGGAAACGCTGTGAACTGTATGCATTGGCATGTGGCTAGACGGTCCCATTTTGTGGTAGTGTGCTTTTGGCGGAAATGATGGAATGATTCTGACTTTACGATCGGTGCAGAATACGCTTTACGATATTAAACGACTTAACATTCGTTGTTGGAGTGTATCGTAAAAGGACATTAGACGTGCTGCGTAGATACGGGTAACATATTGGTGCCGAAACCGATTCAGGAAACTTATGAGTTTGGGATTTTAATAATTGCCATTAATTCCTAATACGCGGTACGTCTGTTTTCGCTGTGTATACGATACGCAGCAGTGGAAGTTTTCAGTCTAATAATTTTGCGATTTAACCTGTTGATCGTATTCCTGTGTGTTGTGACACACTGTGGATTATCATCAGGCCGATTTTGTGGTTTTATCTGCCCCTTATTTCCAACGTTGTCCACAGTCCGGAACGAAACGTGAGTAAATACCTTGCCGTTCCCGTGATAATTACGTAGGTTGCCAGAATGTCAACAAGTGGAACCACTACATCTACCCACACGCCCACCTACACTTCCCAGCCAATAACGACGGCAACGCATACATCATCAAGCACGGGAACCGCGCAACTCCACAGTCCTCGTGAGCTGGCAGCAGAACTGGATACGTTGCACCTAGCCGGACCAGCGCGGATATTGGAGGTGTTCCAGGGATTGGCGAAAGACGACGTTGTGGCGTGGCTGCGCCGATTCGAGACGATGGCACTGGCGCAGCGCTGGGACGACGAGCGGAAGATAACTCAAGCATCTATCCTGCTTGCGTCAACTCCGCTATCTGGTGGGACAGAGTCACCGATGACGGCACCCGGCAGCCATACAACACCTGGCGGGAGTTCAAGGCGGCAATAACCACGCGCTTTCAAACCGAGGATTACAAGAATCAGCTGAAGATCCAAATCGCGCAACGGAAGCAAAAGCGGGATGAGGCGCTGGAGGATTATTATAACGATATTGTGACTTTGTGTTACAGATATGACCGCAGCATGGAGGATGACACTCTAATCTCCAAACTTCGTAACGGACTGCTGCCCGAGTATCTGTCACGTGTCGCGCTGTCAAAGGCAAAGACACCGATGTCCTTCCTGTCCGACCTTCAGTGCGTTTCGGAGGCGATCCGTTTGGAGCAGAAGAATCGCGGAAATGACGGTCGTGGTGGATCGTCTCACTCCGAATCAAGTGGCGCAGGCGGCGCACAGCACGGCGGCAACCGCTCCAACAAATGGAAGCGGCACGGCAGAGATGCGGACGGAAGCGGAGACACAACCGGCACCGGAAACAGCGACCACAGTGGTGGCGGCAGTGGCAGCGGATGGCGCGGCGGCAGCGGCGGCAGGTTCAGAGGCGGTCGCGGAGGTCATGGTGGAAACGGTGGCGCAGGCGGAAGAGGCGGCGCTAGGCCTGTCAGCGGAAAGCGCTGCTATAACTGCGACAGCTCGGATCACCTGATTAAAGACTGCCCGAAGAATAAGGCCAAGTTCAGTGGCAATGGACCTGCACAGGCCAAATCGATGATCGTTACCGATACAGCGGAAGTTGGCACTACGGAACGGTGCGCAACTGGAAGAAACACCACGATCGGAGCCACAGCTGGGACAGCGGGCAGACGTTTTGAAACAGAAACGTTGTCAGCAATGTCGCCGGCTGCCGGCGGGTCACCTGGGGGTGTTAATGAGACGGCAAGTATCGGATTCTATGGTTGGAACAGTTTACCGCTACATGATAATGAAGCACACATGTATTATGCAATGCATGTTCAAGGTAGCGCAGGGCAACGAGCGTATGTGCGCGCGTGTATGGATGGCGGACGACAACGGGCTGACGAAGGAGCCGCGCATGGAGGCGCCCGTGGAGGCGCGCATGGAGGCGCGCATGGAGGCGCGCATGGAGACGCGCATGGAGGCGCGCATGGAGGCGCGCATGGAGGCGCGCATGGAGGCGCGCATGGAGGCGCACGTGGAGGAGGCGCAATGCGGGCCAACAACCGGTGGGAGCAGCACGTCCAATGCATGCTGGGACCGGCAGCAGCTCAGCTCAGAGGAGGTCGTCGAGGCGTCCCAAGGGGACACCGCATCCAAGGCCGCGGGATATACAGCGAAGTTGATGGTCACCAGCCAAGTGGCCATCGCGTTGTCCATGTGGTAAACGTCTCAATTGGAGAACAACGTCGCAGTGTGTTTGATCGCCTAGGCGCTGTGGATTGGCAACGACACCAAGTCCCGCGACCACGGAAGGCGCTGAAGCGACTGCAGGATCACGATGTTGTTGTTCGGGTACGCAACAGGCATATGGTGGATCGGAGTGGTCCCAGTGGATCTGGATACCGGCGCCAAAGTGCCTGGCGCAGCGACCGGTCAGCATTAGGGACAGCACAGGGATCACCACAGGGGACAGCGCGGAGGCAACCAGTGTCCAGCCGGATCGGACCAACCGGCATATTCAGCCTTGATGACCCGGACGCTGTTTATGCTGATCGATATCAGCAAGGTCTGCGCATGCAACGTCAAATGGGACACCGTCAGAACCCATGGCAGACGTTTGCTATGATGTTCGTGAAGCACCACAGGGCGGAGATGCAGTCAGATACCAAGACGTTTGGACCTGCACAAGAGCCGCTACAGATGTCGGGGTGTGTACCCATAATGCCCATTCGTATAAACGGACGACCTGCTACTGCATTGGTGGATACCGGTGCCAGCTTGTCAGTGGTCAACATGAGTTTTGTGCGCGGCATGGGATGCGAAGTGATGCCGGACAGCGTTGAGGTCACCATGGCCGACAACCGCGTAGTGCGCACAACTGGTCGTGTCTTCCTGGAAGTGGAGGTATGTGGGTTGAAGGGAACCATACCATTCCAGGTATTCGACGGGTTCAACAGTGGCAAATATGACGCGATGATTGGGTGTAATGTTACTGGTATACCCGGCATATTAGTTGATGTTGCAAACAACATGTTGCTAGGACCAAGCGACTACGTGTTGACGAAGGGGCTTACCGAAGTGCAACGATCAACGCTCGGACTGTCCATGGAGGAGCAGATGAAGCGGATGTCCACAATGAAGAGAAGCGGTGGTGCCGGTCAGCCAACGTCCAGCCGTGGTCAACCAGCAGCGGCAAAGGTAACCGGCAAGTTTGGTAACACCGCTGTGCACCGCAACGGACAACCACAGGGGCAACCGAAGGGGCAAGTTACGACTGCCGCAGCAGCAGCCCCGGCGCAGAAGGAAGCGGCAAGGCTGCAGCCAAGAATGAAAGCGTTTATGATGGCACTACTTCATCAGCAGACTGGAGGTGGACAAGTCCTTCAGCAGCGCAGACTGGCCGTCGCAATGGACGGTGTCCATGAATTGGATATGGACAACTGGGACAATTCTTGGCCTAAAGTCCCGATTACGCAATTCGATATTGGTGACGCTCGTACACAGGATAAAGTGGAGGAGTTTTCGGCCTTCCTGGAACAGTTTTTCGATCTGTTCCATACAGACGACAAGATGATGGGGATGGCCAAAGTGGAGCCATTCAAGATTGTGCTGCAACCCGGCACGAAACCACGCTACCAAGGTCAGTACCGAAGAACTCCGAAAGAATTCGAAGAGATGGAGCGGCAGATTAAAGACATGTTGGCGAAAGGAGTCATAAGGCGTTCAAAGAGCAGCTGGTGCT